ATTGACACGACTCGTTTTTCAAAGTGCAGTGGGCGTTTACTTTCAAGTCTTCAGTGCGAGACGCCCATAAAAACGAGCGTTTTTGACCTGGGCTCAAAACTAGTGTCGAAAATAGCCTATTGCTTATTCATTTGATGTTTTTGAATGCAAAACCTAGCGAACATCATAAGTTGACCTCAGACAACAATATAATAACATTTAAATGACCCCTTTAAATGCATCGCACATCAAATGTTTGGGCTGACGTTCTTAAATGTGTTTGCCAGAAGTCTCTTCTGCTCACCAAGGCTGCATTTATTTGATCAGTAAAAACAGTAATATTGTGAAATATTATTACCATTTCTGTTTGAATAAGTCTTAATGTAATTTATTCCTTTGATCAAAGCTGAATTTTCAGCATCGTTACTCCAGTCTTCAGTGTCACATGATCCTTCAGAAATCACTCTAATATGATGATTTGATACTCAAGAACCATTTATTATTATCATCAAAACATTGAAAACAGTTTTGTTAAGCAGCACAGATGTTTTTTAACAATTGTTTTTGTGGAATTCAGCATTGATTTGAAATAGAAATAAAATTATAATTGTCTTTACTCTCGCTTTGATCACTTTAATCTGTCCTTGCTGAGTAAAAGTATTAATAATTAATATTTTTTTTAATTCTTAATGGCCCCATCATTTTATGAAACTCTAATAGAATTAGGTGGAAAATGAATAGTCTAATTATAATAATGTCCCAAGGAAACCACATCCACAGTGTCTAAATGCTCTTTGACTTTGGTGTACGCTACATTAGGAACATATTCAACATAAAAGCCCTTAACTTTCTATTTATTCATCTAAATTATCTCCTTCAGTCAGCCACAACCTTAAGGCACTCTGTCTGTTATGAAGTGCCAGCAAAATTGAAAAGAAGTGTTTCTGAAAAGCTGGAAAATTGTCAAAGAGCAAACCCAGACAGTTGTGTGTTTGTCTGATTCTCCCTTTGACATCTGGTTCTCAAAGATACTTACCTTATAAAAAAAAAAAAGTAAGTAAATCCAAAGGTTTAACACCCATCATAAACACTACGAGGGATTACAGCCGAGTTTAAATGGATAAATGTTTTACTAAGCATACTTAGGCAGAATCAAACCTCTCACAGACTATTAGGGGCTGTGTGCTTACAGAATGATATTTTGAAGTGACTTCTCTTTGTCTTGTAGATGGATCAGTTGGAGAAGGCATCTCTAGAGGATAAAGCGTACAATGGGGATGCTAACATGGCAAATGCAAAAAACAAGATGCTCATAAGAGACACCAAAAAAGAGCTGATGAGGTACATAAATGATTTGAGAACTTAAAGAACTTATTAATTATTAGATTAGCCTACTGTAAGCGTTCCCTCCGCTCCGTATTCTCTTTGCAGTTGTCCGACACCAGGTTGTGATGGCAGTGGTCACGTGACAGGAAATTATGCGTCACACCGAAGGTGAGGAGCCCCGTCCGCCGACACCCTCTTTATTTTTCAAGCAGCAAAACCGTCTTGAAAAATATACATTATGTCTCCTGCTTTTATTTTTGTAGTGTATCTGGTTGCCCATTGGCTGATAAGACCCTGAAATCACTAATGGCTGCTAATTCTCAAGAGCTAAAGTAAGAATTAGCTAAAGTTTCAATTCAATAACCAAACTACTTTTAAAGATACAGAGACGTTAAAGCAATAATGTAAGTGTAATGTGATGATGTAAATAAATGGAAAAAATATATATGGAATATGAATCGTGAATCATAAATTTCTATTTCTTTTAAAGGTGCCCGACTCCTGGTTGTGACGGCTCAGGTCATGTGACGGGAAACTATGCATCTCATAGGAGGTGAGCGTCTCATTAATCACAGATTTTTTTATGTTTCTGCACGACATAAACGGTCATGCTTTTTAACACATCATAACGTCTCATTTTTACACCCGTGTTTTCTAATTCAAGATGTTCTGCTATAATAACAAAGGCGCTCAGTGGGTTAAATTTAAAAGCGGGTAATCGCCATTGAGTAAATACTTTGTGGCATTTGACGGCTGTTGAGGTAATGACCCCTGTTCAGTGGCAACACGACAGGTGTCAGAGCTTGAAACATCACGCGGTATCTTTCCCACACACACACGCGTCTGCACGCTTGAACTTCTGAAAGGTTCGTCACATATGTCATGTTCCTTCCCAGTCTGTCAGGATGCCCTCGTGCCAGGAAAGGAAGCTTGAAGCTCACGCCAAGCAAAGAGGACAAAGAAGAGCCGGAGATGAAGTAAGACACCACCAAAAACAATGACATCCAAAACGTTTGGTGTTTTTAGAGAAATGCTTCACTTTAAACTAGATGTGTTTACTAAAGCATCCACATTTGACCAAACGATTCTTCTTTATTGGATGAAAGATTTAAAAATTTGAAACAAAATACAGTATGCACTATGATAGATATGTTGTTGCATTGTTTTGTTTGTTTTGAAGTACGGTATTAAAGCCCCCCCATCCCCCCTCCAATTTTGAAAACTACACTCTTAGAAGAAATGGTTCTATTTAGAACCAGAAATGGTTCCATCCCCCGCTTCATATATGGAACTCCAAAATGGTTCTATATAGAACCATTTTTTTTGGTAAAAAGGTTCTATTGGCCAAGTATGGAACCCCAGGGTTCTATATAGAACCCAGAGGAACCCTTTTTTTAAGAGTGTATTGAACCTTTTAGGGGTTCCAAATACGTAGCGCTGATAGAACCTTTTAAGTTTCTATATAGAACTGTTTCTTCTAAGAGTGTATTATTGAATTATTTAAATTCAATTAAGCTAGCATGAAATGTTGTTAAATGTATGAAATTCCTGTGTCTTCACTATAAAATAGTAATTTGTTAGTTTATTTTAAAATATTAAGTGCTAAAAACATAATACACTATAAAAAATTGCTACAAAACTTTTTAAGTACAATCTACTTGGATTTTTAAGTAATTTCAACTTAATTTGCGAAACTTATTTTGATGAGTTATTTTGAAAGCTATGGAAAAACATGTTATAACTTATTGATCATTTAATTTTTTTACAGTCTATTTTGCTGTATGCCACATTGTTCTCTTATATATAATCAATCAATCAATCAATCAATCAATCAATCAATCAATCAATATTTATTATTGAACCAAAGTGCTTTCCAAAAAACAGAAAAAAAAACACTATACAATGCAAACTTGCAATACAATGCAAAATATAAAAATAAAATATATAATCAAGATATATATATATATATATATATATATATATATATTTACAATATAATATGATAAATATATATTGTTTATATATATATATATATATATATATATTAAAAAAATTACAATATAAAATAAATATGATTTTTTTTTCTGATCCTACTTTCATTGAAAATTTGTAGAAATTTAATTGATGGTCTTATATTTATGGAATGTGAAAATATCTAATCATCAGAATACACTTTTTTATTTTCTTTTTTAAATCAAAACTTATTAGCAAACAAATTATTTGCACAGCAGCAACGCACATGAAAATAATACTTTTACTGTTGTTTTGGGGAATACTAGATGAAAATGTTTCCTAGAAATACCATTTAATAATCTTTTTAATTCAGGGAGCTCAAAACTCTTTCCTCGTTTTTCTGTAAGATCTCATTTAATTACAATTAATGCAGTAGTTTGCTCTTTAAAAACATAATACTATGGAGGGGCTGGGGGGGAATTAATTGAATTGATTCCAGCCTTAAATCCGAAGTCTAACCCAGAGTGACAGGGCTTTCCTACTTTTGCATCTGGGCTAGCATTTCATTTTTAATTACTAATGCAAAGACGAGAGCTTAGGAATTAGACGGTAGCAGGTCCGCGCACATTAAAAGGAGGAACGGAGAGGCAGAGAAAGCAGACCCTGGTTACGTCTGTAATGTGGCTAGATTATTGTAAATTGTCGGCCGTATGGCCCATCTCTGTGGTCAGGAACGCCATTCCCAGAGCCGGACCAGTGTTGGAGTCGTAATGTTGTCTTGTTTTAGTCGGTGTATTAGAGCCAAAACTGCCATAACAACCTTTCCCATAAAGGCCTGCAGACAAGCCATTTGTACTATCCCAGATAACCTCTCACCTCTTCCAATATGGGCTATCAGGGAAAGGGTCAGCCACCTCCAAATCATGTGCTTTTTCCCCCCTGTGGAGGACGCACAACAATTATGTGCAATTTATGTCATTCCATTACTGACCTAGGGGGAAAGTGAGCAGCAAAATAAATTGGCCAACTCCTCACCACTCTAGTCTTCAACTTGCTGGGGCTTATGTTTTCCATCGGCGGCACGTTAACCTCCATGCCCGTAATTATTTACTGGAGTGCGTTTCCGACGAAGCGCAGACTTTTTTTTTTTTTCGCGTGTGCCGATAGAATTATTCCAGCCCTTTTTTTTCTCTCTCTCTCTCTCTGTTTTGAATACATTTTTAATCAGCATTTCACAGGATTAATCTTCTTAATGGTATTTGAAAAGTCTTCCAACTCTGCAAATTGGGAGTTGGGGAGGGGGTGGGGGTGTTTACAGACAAAATGACAAATGCGCGACGGTGGTGTGGGGAAGTTTTAGCCATCAAATTATCAACTGAATGTATATGGGCTCATTTGTGTTTAGGAAGACTCGGTTATAAGCTCTGAAACTAGTTCAATCTCAAATAAGAGATTATCTTGGACAATCACAGTGTTGCCCTGTTGAGTTTAGGACAACAAAAGAGGGCTGCGCAGGGGGTTTAATTTAAGCATGTCGAGGGGTCAGGTCACATCTGTGTGTGTTTTGGCATTGTGACCCAGAAATCTATACCAAACAACCTGTGATGCAGATTATGACCTTGTTCCCTCCGAACATGTTATTATAAATGTGAACGCTCATAAACTCAGTCTAAAATGTTTATTGGTAGTACAACTCAGCAGTTTAGTCTTCAGTTAAAACTAGTGTATTTTTCTTTTCTCAGGTGCCCGGTGTCAGGGTGTGACGGGCAGGGCCACGTGTCGGGTAAATACACGTCCCATCGCAGCGCTGGAAGCTGTCCCATCGCCAGCAAGCAGCAGAAGGAGAGCTCCGTCAACGGGTCGGCCTTCTCCTGGAAGATCTGCAAACAGGAGCTTCCTCACTGCCCTCTGCCCGGCTGCAACGGCCTGGGTCACGCCAACAACGTCTTCGTCACGCACAGGAGGTGAGGAGACTACAACTTCAAGTCTGATATTACACTTTAAACTTCTCTACTGTATAATAAACACATTTTTATTGTGAACTGAGTTATCTATGAGTTTTGTACTTACACACAGACGTGTGTGTGTGTGTGTGTGTGTGTTATATTATATAATGTAATAATACATTTTATAATATAAACAATACAATTTTTTCACTTAAATACACAAAACAAATATTCAAATACACAAAAATACAGGTTGACTTTTTTTTCAATGTGTAAAAATATGTATCAAAATATGAAAAACATGTAGTTTGGTATACATGGTATACATATATAAATATATCAGTATACTACAGTCAATACAGATTACAGAACTGACTATATTATTATATTGTTTCCAATATTATTTCTACAGACTCAGTGGTTTATTAATTATTTGATTACCCTTACAGTCTCCAAAAATGTTATCATATTATGTAACACAGATTGTACTTATTATCTAATGATTCCTAATTGATGTAGTTATAATTCTCCAGGTAGCTAGGACTGATCTGTAGATTTTGTTTTGTCCATTTACAGTTTGTCAGGATGTCCACTGAACGCCCAGAGCATCAAGAAGAAGCTCTCCGAGGACGAGATGATGACCATCAAACTCAAAACCAGCAGTGGTGAGCAACTCGAGCGCTTTAAAGGAACAAAAGAGCTCCAATCTTTGACCTGCTATTGCTAATATTATCATCATAGTGTGAGGCTGAGCTCGTCTCCTGAGATGAAAAACAGAGAACCTGAGTCATTTAGTACAGCTTTTGCAAGACGCGTTTATTAATGTGCCTGGTTTGTCTCTTGTCAATCAGGTATTGAGAACAATGAAGACATGCAGCACTTGGATCATGAAATAAAGGAGCTAAATGAATCCAATCTGAAGATAGAAGCAGACATGATGCAGCTCCAGACTCAGGTAAATTACATTTACACTTGTGCAAAAAGATTGTGGGTAATGTAGATTCAGAGCTAAAGAACTTGTTTTCTGCTTTTAAAACAGATTTCATCCATGGAGTGCAACCTAAAGACCATCGAGGAGGAGAATAAGATAATTGAGCAGCACAACGACAGTCTGTTGAAGGAGTTAGCGCGTCTCAGTCAAGCACTTATCAACAGTCTCACAGATATACAGCTGCCGCAAATGGTGAGACGCTGACACGTTTACACCGACATGCTCTTTTCCTGCTCTATTTACCTAAAGCACCACACAATAACCACTGTTATTAAAACAAGACCATTTATTTGCCAGACGAGGTTAATTTAATGTTGGTAACACTTTATTTTGCAGTGTAGTTGTTAGATATGTTACATGTGATACATTACATAATTACATGCAACTAACCCTCAACCAAACCCTAACCCTATAGTAAGAACTTGTACTGTAGTTAATTACTCTTACTTGGTACTTAAGTGGATAATATTTAGCTCATATCAAATTTAATTAAACTGGGATAGTTCACTTTGAAATTAATTTTTGGTATGTTTTAGCTTTGTCTTTGTTTCCGCAGTAGTTTCAATTTTGATATTTTTAGGTCAAACCGTTCGTGTCTGTCAGTCATATAATGGAGGTCTATGGTCACCACCTCAAAGAGCATGCACAAAGAAGTCCAGATTAAACATGATTTAATGACTCGTAAATGTAAGTACACATTGATGGCCTAAGACACGAAACGAGCGGTTTGTGTGAGAAAACGAACAGTATTTTGTATAGTTTTTACCTCTTGTAACCATAGCAACATCTAAGTGATCAGAGGACGCGAGGTAAAAACGATATAAATACTGTTCGTTTTCTCACTCAAACCGCTCGTTTCGTGTCTTAGGCCATCAATGTGTACTTAGATTTATGAGTCATTAAATCATGTTTAATTTGGACTTCTCTGTGCATGCTCTTTGAGGTGGTGACCATAGACCTCCATTATATGACTGACAGACACGAAACGGTTTGACCTAAAAATATCAAAATTGAAAATAATGCGGAAACAAAGACACCTACATCTTGGATGCCCTTGAGGTAAACTAAAACATACCAAAAATGAATTTCAAAGTGAACTATCCCTTTAATTCAATACGATTTGAGCTAAGATGGTGCATGTTTGTAAGGGATGACATCATGAAACACACTGAATTGAACGTTCCTGAATCTGTTCCAGGGTCCGATAAATGAACAGAACTTCGAAGCCTACGTGAACACACTGACGGATATGTACAACACTTCAGAGCACGAGTACTCGCCAGAATGCAAAGCCTTATTGGACAGCATCAGACAGGCCATAAAGGGCATCCACGTATAAGGCCAAACTCTTTCACGGGGGGCTGGCTTTGTGATATGTGCAAGATGTGTCTCGTTTAAATTGCTCCATTCCACGACAAACTCATTGCACTGAAAAATACCAGCCACATTTTTACAGCTCAATGTTCCTTGTAGTGAGATTTGACCTCCTTTTGCACTTATTTATTTCCTATGGTTTGCTTGACTTTATTCCGTATTGTTCTTTTGCGTGTTGTTCTATTATTGCTGCATATTATCTTTATTCATCGGTACTATTTATCTCACAGTAATCTTATTTATTTATTGATTTATTTATTTATTGCTATCATAATTGTTGTTTTTCTGTTTCGTTCCTGCAACTCCAAAAATGCAAGGCCAATCTTACATATTGTGAATTTTAATTTATTTGACATTTACCTGCGTTTGTTGTACAATAACTCGCTGGCATTCGTGATGATGATGATGATTTCTTTTTTTTTCCTTCTACTTTTTTTAGTAACGCAGATGTCAAATGTGAGAATAGTCCACTTGCGCCACCTGTTGGTGAGCAGCTGTCATTGCTCCATTAGAGCCGTATGGGTTATTTTTTAACGAATCCACAAATGGCATCATTTGTTTCCATGCATAAATCTGTATTCTAATAAGCGAGCGAGCGAGCGAAAAGAAAAATATTTTATCTCCAATTTTAGACTCTTGGAACTACTGTACAGTGACACTTGACCAGAGCAAAAATCAAACCATCCAGGAAGAAGGACATCATCATTTATTTCCGTTTCTGCTCATATGAACTGCCTTTGGTGTGCACATCCATGTGTGTGCATATATGTGCCTAAATGTAAATGAGTACATGGAATATGATATGTTTTGTGGTAGAGCAGTATTACGTGAATGGTGATTCATTTTATTCTGCAGTATATTTATTTTCTGAATGAAAAGCCTCTAAACTCTGTTTACCTACAGTTTATACGCCATTTTAAGTATGTAATAATATTCTTGTAAAAAAAAAAGAAAAAAAAGAAGTGTTTTATGATCAGGCACAATACTTTTTTTTTATTTTATTTTCTGAACTCCTCAACCTTTGGCTTCTTCTGTGAGACAAACAGTGGGCTCTCGATCTTTTCTCAAAGCACTTCATGTCTTTAACCCACTAAAATATGGACAAATCCACAGCGAAACAACTGCAATAGAGAGTAAGCTTTCCATTATGACACTTGATTTAGCGTTGAAATGCAGGGCCGCTGTTATTGGAGGCATTTGCTGTGTGTTACGATCACAAACGGCCTTGTTCTGGCACTTTTAAAGCTTTCTCTAACACTAAACGTACCCTTTTTGCACTTTTATTCTGTTATTTAGTGTTCATTTGAGCGGGTCACAAGTGTGTGGTCGGTGCAGGTTTAATCTAGTTTTACATTGATGTCAAAAACGGTGTTTAAGCAAATTTGCAGGTCATTCAGAGGAAATAAAAACACTATATTATCTGACCAAACGAGCATAATGAATTGTACTGAATCCGTTTTTGTTTGAAATCCTAAATTACTGTATAATTTAGAAATATTTCTGTTTAAATGATTTGTAATTGCTAATTTTTAATTTATAAACCACAGATTGTTTGCTCAGGAAGTTTTGTGAGGAATATTTATTTTTTTTTTTTTTTTGTTGTATTTGATGTTTTGTAATGTGATAAGATTTTTTTGTGGGAAAGAAAAAAATAGTAAAATACACGGTACTGTAAATGATTTAGTTTGTTTTTGTTTTTTTAAAAAAAAATGTTTTTTTGTTTTTTTTTAGTTCGAGTAGTTTGTATATCAGGATTTCCTTACACTTTTAAAATTTCATAAGCAGTACTGCGCTGTGTTGTACAGTTTGTGTATGGTAGAAATAAACTATTGAAATGATCTGCTTAGCGCTCATTGTACAGTGGCTCATATAAAAATATTATTTATATAAAAATATGTACTTATAGAGTGTATTTAACATGTCATTGAACTTTTTTTACTCACCATCAGGCTCAAATTTGCATAAATGTACATTTGGAGGTTTCAAATGCACTGTACAATATTATGACAACATATTGCTTCAACTCATCAAAATAAGTTAAGCAATTTACATATTTTTTTTCAGCTTTTTCAAGTCAGTTGACTAATTTAAGTTGAAATGACAAACATACAAGTTGGTTGTACTTAATTTGAGGCAGCCACTTTTATAGATTTCTATATAGTATAATATATTTTTAAAAGTATAAATATTCCATGTAGTCTCACTGTAGAAACTGGAAAAATATGTGAAAAGGTTGAATGACATAGTGTGGACGTCACAGACATTTTTTGTTGTAATGGCTTCTTGATTACATCAGAGCTCAAAACCAAATCCAAAATTCTACAATGTATTATTTTGCCAATCTAATTGAACAGCGTGACATTTGAAACGTTGCTATTCAACTTTTCATGACATTGCAAGACCAAAACTATTTTCATATCTACCAGCAGATGGCGTATGGATCCAACTTTGAGAGACTAAAGATTTCAGGCCTTCATTTCTGCATTCGAAACACTAGTATCCAAAAAGAGAAACAAGACAATGGTTTCAGTCTCAGCAAATACAAATAAGTTTGAACCAGTTTGACTGGTTAAATCACGAGACAATGAGATCATTAAGAGATCCTCTCGAGACACCCTGTTGCCCTGATATGAAATCGGTGCCTTGTAAATATGGTGTTTGGTTTGTTACCCTTCGTAATTGCCTTTTTATAATTATCAGAGCAATTTATTCTTGCCTTTGATGCGTTGATGATGATGCAAATTATATCTAATTATCTGAAATGAGGCACAGCTTTCCTGTTGAACGTCACCTAGAAACAAAACCAACAATTACTAAAAGATCCGTGACTGTGACAGACGTGTGTTGTCTTGATTTCGCTTAACTTTAACCATGTCCCTGACCCATACACTCGACTGAATCTCACAGTTAACATACCACATTCACGGCGAGTACAGAAATATAAATATCAGAGGAAAAAAGCAGAGATGCTCCTGGTCTGTCTTTGGGCTTTGGCTAATACTAATACAGCCACTCCAGGGCAAACTCTAACACTATCTGTCCTCATTAGCAAACACTGCATAACAATGAGTTTAACTTTATTTAACAAAGTTTTAAATGCACCAATACTCACACACTGATGTAAATGCAACTATGCTACTGTATGCGTCCATTATTAATTAATTAAATTAAGTTGGCCCAACTCAATAATCAATATTTAGAATTACATTTGCCAAAATTAAGTTGGCCCAACTCAATTTAAATTTGATCAAATTAAGTTGGCCCAACTCAATATAGTTATTTTCTAAATAATAGGCTGTTATTAAATACTTTATATTAATGTATTAAATATGATATGAGTGTTTATTATATATTTATGTATATATGAGTGTCTGTCATATACTGCGCACACATACGAGTATATTAAACAAAACAATTTGTATTATAGTAAGTAATATTTATTATCTTGTATTTAATGATATAATAGACTATTATTTAGTACAACAAATTATTACATTATGAATGAAATAGTTTGATGACAAAACTCACAGCTAAGTAAACTCTCTCTTACACACACACACACACACACACACACACACATTTCTTATTGCGTCTGTCTTTGTTGATCTTTATATGGAGGGCAAAGTTTGCTATGCATTTTAGGGTTAAAGGGGAGTTTGATATGACCCCTTCCTTTGAGATCATTTTGTTGCTGTTACATATTGCCCACATTGTAGAGTTTTGTTTCCAGAACCTGGGAAAGACGTTACGCAGTCAATCATGTTGGAGCATATCGTCCTCTAGTTGAAACGTTATATCTATGTATTAATGGACAGTAGACACATGCTAATTTTAAAGTGGTTTCATAATAGCAATTTCACAGAGTTTGACAAAGTGGATCTTACAGGGGACTGAGGGATCAACAGTCTATTGAAAAATAAAAAAGATGTCATCATGGTAAATGAATACTGTTTTCCAGTCAGACTGAGACAACAGACATATGGCAAATGCTATCAACAGAACTCTTCCGTGAATCTATATATCTATATATATATGTTCAAACTAATTTGGCACGCAAACCCATATAGCCACGTGGTGGGTGTTTTAGATGTAAACATGAAGGCATGTTTGTTCTTTTCTATGAGTAACTAAGGTTTAAGTGCTTCTGAATGTTGACCCACTGTCAACAGATTACACCGCCAAAAAATAATCTTCATAAGTCAATCTACTGACCCCAGCTGCTCAAATATAACCACTGATTCATCGCTAAACCGAGTAATCATTGGGTTGACGTTGAGGGTTGTAAAAAATTGCTCATATTGGTTCTAATTTGCTTCAACAAGATCATTTGTAAAAGCAGACACCAGTTTTTTTCTTAGAAAAGCTTTTTTTCACTCACGTTTCGACATGTCCCGCCTTCTCTTGTTATGATAGCTACGTCATATGACCGACTTCTAAACTGTCCAATCCCTGACCACCTATTTGGGCTTCTAGCCAATCCTGGCTTAGGAGGTGGGACACATGAAGAGAAATAACAAATAACCGCTGTCCGAAACAACAGAAAAAAACTGGTAGAATGGCATTGGCTTTGGCTTGGTGTATTGTCCCAGAGGATGTCTCTAATTAGCTATATACTGTGTATCTAAATATTGTTTATATATTTTAACTGTTCACTGTGTATTTTGATTTAATGGCGTTTGAAATTTCAAGTGTTCTGACCACAACTGAAAACGGCCTGGTCACGTGGGACGTTGTACTTTTCTCAGCGCTGGTCGGAATAGACTAATCATATTCTTCGGTGATTAATATTTAGGCAAATGGTATTAAATCGTTTTATATGAATGTACTGAGCTTATTTGTTAATATATTTCAGAGACCAATCATTAGCATTTAAAATAGTATATACTTACATTTTCAAATGCCTCCAATATAACAATAATTGAGCTGATATTTGAATGCAGCTCAATGGGGCTTTGGCTTTTTGGGCCTCCAAGAGCCCCCTGGAGGACTATTATTTATACCAAACTGTTATTAGCCAGCAGCATTTGCCGTCTAATGTCCGCAGCCTCGTTTCTGTGAACCACGTGACGTCTGTTTACATCCTCTCAGCTGTTCCTCGACAAAAACAGCGCTGGCTGTTCAACGCCACGAAAAACTATACATAATCAACAGTGCGCTAAAAACAAAAACAAAAAAAAAACAAAAAAACAATTCTAATGTGCATCCAGTCTGCTTGGCTAGTGCAAATCCTGAGATTGAGTCATGGCTTTATAAAGGTGAGTGAACATTGTTATTCCGCAAAGATGATGGCGACATTTTTGTTTTGTTGCTTTGCGTTGGTCTGAGGAAGCGGAGGAAGATGTAACTTACATGTGGCAGACATTTAAATGCTAATGTACTGTAATGGTTTAATGCACGCAAAAAAGCCCAAATGGCTTTTTTTGAAGAATGCACAAATGTTGTATTGTCAAGTGTTTTGATCTACCAGGTCAAACACAATGCCGCCGTCTTACTGGTTTGCCCAGTCCTGCACGCGTTAACTGTTATCTAACAGCGTGGGTTTCTGAAGTAATAGAAAAAGCTAGAGTTTTTTTCCCCTTCTCTCAGTTTATTTTTTACCTGAATTAGAGACGGCGGCGGAGGCATTTTAACTAATACTTATTAGACAACTAACAATAAGTAACGTATAACAACTAAATCGGAAGCTTTATTTTTCTAATAACTTGCTTTTTCGATTTAAAAAATATATATTTTGTTTTATGTTTTACTCATCACACGACACGATTAATAACAAAGACCAAATGCACGACAAACCATGAGCTTTTTCGTAAATATTTTATATGTCAAGTTATGGCATAACCATGTTAAATGTATCTGTGGAGTTACTTAAGTAATGTAACTGTTAATGTATGCAAAGCAATTACAGCTTAGAGATTATGGCGGATCTAAACATGTGAAACGCTCTTTCTCTCTCTCTCTCTCTCTCTCTCTCTCTCTCTCTCTCTCTCTCTCTGTCTTTGATACCTTTTTTCTGTCTCAGAAATAATATTTGAATGTATTAAGCACTGCACACGTCGCTGGACACTGTGTTTAACGCAGTGCGGTTGTGTGAATGTTTTATAAATTCTTTAGCTCGTCTGCGTCGTAAAATGTAGATCTTTATGTGTGTGGATGGACCTCAGCGGGTGACGTCACGCAGCCAGACGCCATCCATATTGTATGTTCATCGGTCTTAAACGTAAACAAACGAACGAAAGCGTCGCAGATATGCAATTTCTCTTCATTTATGACAGAAACAGCGTTCAGAGGATGAATATACAAGTATTCATATAATATGGCGTGTTGGTGCTGCAGGCTACTCTTTGTTTACAGCAGAGTGCAGTGGCGTTTCATCATGGCAAGCTGCTTTTAAAGGGATAGTTCAACCAAAAAATTACTCACCCTCATGTTGTTCCAAACCTGTATGTGTTTCTTTCTTCTATTGTACACAAAGTAAGATATTTTATTTTCAATCGACTTAACTTTCTACTATGGAAGTCTGTCAACTGTCTTGTCACCGATGTTCTTTAAAATATCTTATTTTGTGTTCAACAGAAGAAAGAAACTCATACAGTTTTGAAACAACTTGAGGGTAAGTAGCCTAATGACAATTTTCATTTTTGGGTGAACTTATCCCTTTAAAGGAGTAAACAGATGTACTCTGGCCGAGCATCAGTGTAGTGTGATGATGTTGCAATTATGCAACCAACAAGTTAAAACATGTTAATGACGGATCAGCTCAGCTTTATAACAAACTGTTCGAGTTCATTGTTCAAGTTCCAGTAATAACTTGACAACAATCCAGGAGTTACTCAACTTGTTCTCTGACAAAACCAGTTAGCAGTGTTATGAAAACCAGCATCCTTTTTCCCCTATATTAATGGCGGTATTGATTTATGGTGTCCAACCAGTGTCTGTTTATTAGAAAGAAAGACACTGTAATAGGTGCTGTTCTCTTTTAAGTTGTATACTGATATACAGAGAGTCACTGTAGTGTTGCAATCAGGTCTTGTACAAAACAGAGTAGGAGGTTTGACCCAGATCTCTTCCTGCAGTATTTTTAGTGCCGGAGACTCAAAGGGCAGTGATACAGGAAAACGCTGAAAAGAAAGACAAATGCAGAAAAGAAAACAAGGGAATTATAGCGATGTAGTCAGACATTTAAAACCCTCTAAAATAAAGCATTATTCACATCAGTATGTTAAATATATTAGAATATTTTAAAATGATTTCTTGGGCAATTTTTCGAAACCTTTTCAAATGTACACTCACCTAAAGGATTATTAGGAACATTACAGAGTACAGGCCGTTGCGATATATACATTTGCGATATTTCGTTATATTGTGCAGCTCTACTAATGTTAAAGTAGAAAATCATGATTCATTGGTTGCAATTGAAACTAAAGCCTTTTGGCTTTTAAAAAAACAACGAAATAAAATATATTTAAAAAGGGATGAGCTCTTTAATTTCAATAGGAAGTACAGTATGTCAATAAAGAAAATAAAACCGATTTAATGGGTTCTTTTCAGAAGGATGGTCCTTTGCAAAGACATCCTTAATTGGAGTGGAAAATAGAGACATTTCAATTTACAGTAATTGGTCTTTTCTTGTACTCGCTGAACCATTAAGTAAACAAGCCTCATGTTTCTTTCTTTGTGTAAATCCAGATCTGGTTCAGGTTCATGAAAATCCTTGAGGTTACTGCAATCCAGCTTAACTCAATTACCAATGAGCCGGAGAAACTAAGTGCCCTGTCTGCAGCCCAAATGTCACTTACAGGGTTTCTTTTCTCTTGCTTTGAAAGGATATTCAGTTAAGTGCGTAACATTTCTGTTGTGGCGGTTATCATTTCAAACATGTAAGAAGACTTCAGCCTCGGACAGTATTCTGCAATATTAAACATCAGGTACACGCAACACCTAGCTGAAGAATCAGAGACGGCAGGTATCAGGTGGCTCCTTTTTTCCAGCTGTGCACCAGGGAAAAGGGTAAACTGAAATGTGCGAAAGAGAGATCTAAACTGTGACCCTTTGTTTTTCAGTCCTCAGATCTTGCCGTAGCCGAGAATGGTCTGAGGTGATTTGTGTGGGCCAGACATCACGACTGGGCATCCCTGTGGAGAATCGCTCCAGCACTTTCATCTGGATGCGAGGACCGGTCTAGTTACCCGTCTCTCACCTCCTCTGCATTTTCTTTTTGTTTCTTTTTCTTTCTCGTTGCCTGTCTGGGGAACATGGGGGGAGCAGTCAGTGCTGGCGAGGATAATGACGATTTGATAGACAACCTGAAGGAAGCCCAGTACATCCGCACAGACCGCGTCGAGCAGGCCTTCAGGGCCATAGACCGTGGAGATTACTACCTGGAGGGCTACAGAGACAATGCATACAAAGACCTGGCCTGGAAGCATGGGAATATACACCTCTCGGCGCCGTGCATCTACTCCGAGGTGATGGAAGCCCTGAAACTCCAGCAGGGTTTGTCTTTTCTTAACCTCGGCAGTGGCACGGGATACCTGAGCACGATGGTGGGCCTGATCATAGGTGAGAACCACTCTAATAACATGTCTAGGGTTTAGATAAAACGACAATAAAGAAAACAAGCAGATATAATTCAATAATATTGTTTAATTTATGTCAAATTCAAAAGAAATCAAAGAAAACACTATATATTTATGAGAACCAAATTTGCACCAAAAACAAAAAGACTATTTAGGAACCATCACAATACATTTAGGTTAGCTTGTTTGGCTCTCATCCTCTTGTTTATTTCACTTTTTTTTTGTTTTGTTAGAACATTCTGCATGGTAGTAATTGCATTTTGAGTCATATCAAGATAATGTATCTTTTATTTTCATCACTATTACTATTACTGCTCATGTTTTGGGATTCGAACAAACTCCTAAGTCGTAAACATTTGCAGAAATTGACACGTAACTCACCTCGTCCTGTGAGTGCTATAGACATGAAATCATACAGTAAAAAAAAGTAATATTATGAAATATTATTACAATTTTAAACAATATATTTATAGTATTTTCTTTGTATATTTAATATATATATATATATATATAGACAATTTTGCAAGATGTAAACAACACTGGTCCAGAAGCACTTCCTGTTTCAGTTTTTTAACACTACATAAAAGCTGGGATAAAATACAACCAACAGAACATATAAAACTGAATCAGAAAGTTAAACAAACATCTTTAAGAGGTTTTCTTTACATGTGAAATAAAAGAAAACAGTTACAAACTGAAACAGGAAGTGTTTCTGGACCAGTGTTGTTTACATCTTGTGAAATGGTGTGTGTGTATATATATATATATATATATATATATATTAATATATTTTACACAGTTTTCAGCATCTTCAGTGTCACATGAGTCTTCAGAAATCATGCTAATATAAAAACCATGGTACATTTTTTTTCATGATTCTTTGGTGAACAAAGTTTAAAAGAACTACATATATTTGAAATAGAAATGCTTTGTAGCATTATAAAATGTTGCTTTATAGTCATTTGATGCACCCTTTCCTTTCTTTTTTAAAATCTTACTGACATTTCTTACTTTTATCTTACAAACTTTTGAACTGTAGTGTGCTTATGTTGAATGATGGACCCAAAACCAAAAAAAAGGGACCTGTTGTTATTATTATTATCATTTGCAGGTCCGTTTGGAGTAAATCATGGCGTTGAGCTCCATAAGGATGTTGTGGAGTATGCGAAAGAAAGACTCGATGACTTCATTAAAAACAGCGACAGCTTTGACAGGCATGTTCAACCTTTATTTTGCACTGTGTTTCTGTAGATTTGAGTGTGAATGTAAAGATTCAGCTTGAAGAAGTGCTGATTTAATCAGAAGTGTAGAAATCGAACTTTTACTTGACAGCTGCATCAAGGGAGGCGAACTGAGATTCAAGCAAACCCCATTAGTCCTCCTCCCGCAGTTCTGTGGTTATGCACTTCAAAGATCAACTTTGATTTAGTCAGCCCTGCCCAATTATCTTCCATGTGACACAAAGAATGCACTAGCTAACCCTAAACCACAGGCTCAATGAGTAAATACCTCTGCTGAGCGGTTTGCACACCTGTGTGAACACCTGTCAAAACCACAACCGCTAGGTCAGATAGTCCTCGTCAGTATTGGACACTCAACTGGGTTTCCCTGAACGCTCTCCCGGGCATTTGCTGCTTGCAAACATCTGTTTTTGTCATGTACCATGCAGAGAGAGAGCAGGGTTATTAAGGTCAGGAGAAAGAGCTGGAATGACGTATTAGACAGTGCTGATGCTGTTAAACAATCCACAAAAGCATGTGTTTCATACAGAAGGCCATGTGCCAAAACAAGGCTGCTTAATCAATGTTGCGGAGCTTTGGGAGCTCTCTCATTGGAATCACTTTATTAGACATCGATATATCTTACACGTCTACAACTAACAACGAAAATAGCTTACTAGTCTCTATAAGCAAATACAAACACGTTTTGACTAGGGCTGTGCAAAAATTAATTGCGATTAATCGCATCCAAAATAAAAGTCTGTGTTTACATAATATATTTGTGTGTGCTGTATATAACTATTTTGTATATATAAATACACACACATGCATGTATATATTTAAGAAAATGTGTTATTCATATATAAAATATTTATATAATATAGATTATGTATTTTTATATATATATATATATATATATATATACAGAATTTAAGCGCAAATAATTCTTAAATATATACATGCATGCATAGGTATTTATATATACAAAATAATTATAAACAGCACACAAATATATTATGTAAACACAGACTTTTATTTTGGATGCGATTAATCGCAATTAACTTTTGCACAGCCCTAGTTTTGACTCGTACTAAAAATAAGCTTAATAGATCAGATTTCTCTTGGCATCATATCTGTTCTTTTAGAGGTAATACAAGAATAATTGCTTTTTACTCATCCACAAAAATAGACTATTACATGTTCTGAAGGAAATGCAAGTGGTAAACTCAGTGACTTAATGCTAGCACATAGCATTTGTTTGCCGTGTGGTTCCTTCATTGTTCCATGAGCCTTAATGATGACTCAGATTATAATATAGGCTATAGTTAGTTCACTTTAAAAAAAACTTTTGCTGATAATTTCCTCACCCCCATGTCATCCAAGATGTACATGTCTTTCTTTCATCAGTCGAAAAGAAATTAAGGTTTTTGTTGAAAACATTCCAGGATTTTTCTCCATATAATGAACTTCAATGGGAACCAAACGGTTCAAGGTCCAAAAGACACTTTCAGTGCAAACTGCAAACTGTTCAAAGGGCTTTAAACGATTCCAGACGATGAATAAGGGTCTTATCAAGCGAAACGATCGCTCATTTAAAAAATAAAAAACAAAGTTTAAGTTTTATAAGCTCAAATGCTCGCCTTGCTCTGTACTGTGATGCACGTTCGTGACTCTCCTGTTCGAACTCGTTTATCAAAATGAACGAATCTTTTTTCGAGTCATTTGGTCCATTCAACGGACGAAATGAACAAATTGACTCGAAAAAAGGTTTGTTAATTTTGATTTCAACTGGAGAGTCACACAGAACAGAGCAAGGTGAGCATTTGAGCTTATTAAACTTAAACTTTGTTTTTTATTTATTAAATGAGCGATCGTTTTGCTAGATAAGACCCTTATTCATCGCCTGGAATCGTTTAAAGCCCTTTGAACAGTTTGCATTTTGTACTGAAACTGTCTTTTAGACCTTGAACCATTTGGTTACCAGTAAAGTGCAAAAAATCCTTGAATGTTTTCATCAAAAACCTTAATTTCTTTTCGACTGAAGAAAGAAAGACATGGACATCTTGGATGACATAGGGGTGAGAAAATTATCAGCAAAAGTTTTTTTAAAAGTGAACTACTCCTTTAAAAAGAGGTGTGCTATTACTTCGAAGTGATTTGATGAGCAGGCCTACGGACAAATAATCTTGCAAAACCATTTCACCTACATGTATAGACCAGAATATTGTATAGATATCATATAAGGTTTAGTTTTTGCAAAAACAAACAGCAGAAAATTGCATTGAAGTAATATCAGTGTAAAAAATGTGTCATTTCAGGTTTGAGATCTGCGAACCACACTTTGTCGTGGGGAACTGTCTGGAGATTTCTTCAGACAGCCACCAATATGACCGGATATACTGCGGAGCTGGAGTTCAGAAGGACCACGAGAACTATATGAAAATCCTGCTGAAAGTCGGAGGAATTTTGGTCATGCCAATAGAGGATCAGGTAAACCACAAAAGTGTTTGGACACTTCAGTCACACTCGTCACAAATGTCTGAATGTCTTTAGATAACAAAATATAAACCCAAAGCTCTGCATTTGTAAGTCTATTTTTTTCATCACTAATTAATGTTACTTTTCTTCATCATTTTGTCATTCAACATTGTTTGATAGCCCCGCCCCCTCCATTTTGTAATTAAAAGCAATGAGAGTTGAACTAGAGTGCATGAAGTGTCCAATTACCCTTTTTTTTGTTTTTGTTTTTTTAGTAAATTAAGTGCATCATCCGGGTATTTTAAGTGCAATTTTTCTTTTTTGAATTTTCAGTGTGAACAAATAGAAAGGCATAGAATCGAGCATATGTATGCGAATTGGGACGCACCTCATGTCTTACATCAAATGTTTGACCTCTTGATTAGTACACACTGTCCGTCTCATTCAGTGTTTATGTGTTCTTGCAGCTGACTCAGATAACTAGAACTGGTCAGAGCTCCTGGGAGAGTAAGAATATCCTGGCGGTGTCATTTGCTCCTCTTGTTCAGCAGAACAGGACAGAAGGCTGCAAGACTGAAGCTGTGGTACTCCGTGAGTCTCCGCCCCTAAATCTGATCTCACTCTGCTTTGTCCAATCAGCTGCCACTTGGGAGGTTTCCAAGTGCAATGTTAAAGACTGATTTATTAATTAACCTGATTCATGTCTGATTAATTAACCTGATTCATGATTTTGTTTCCACATATTTTTCAGTCTAGTGGAAAGAATCTAAAGTGCACATGTAACTCTTTCCCCGCCAGCATTTAAAAAAAAAAAAAAAAAAAAAAACAGTCGTCAGCCGCCACTAGCATTTTTTTTTTTCACACAATTTTTATGTCCACAACTATATTTTGTTGTTTGAATATTGGAACATGTAATATTTTAAAAGAAAGAACAAAGTATCTGCTATTAAACAACAAAAATGTGGGTAAGTTTCATTAAAGAGTAACTAAACACTTAACCAACTTTTTTTTAGTTAATGATCTGTAAGAATGGATCTTTATTAATACCAGTCATTGATTCGAGTAACTTTTTTGACATTTGTTTATAAAGTGTTCTGTTTCTACAATATATGGTGTAAAAGCGTCTTAGTGCTGCCCTCTTCAGGTTGAACGGTGGCTACTGCAGTTGAATTTTCCTATTGGATGATTGCAGGTTTCAGCTCACCACGCGAGCTACGTATAAAAACCATCTTGTGTCGTCAAAACCACTGTAGGGAGTCAGGAGTTGGAATTGTGAGTATTGAAAACGATCAGGATAGAGTGTTTTAGCATCTATTTCGTCCCCTCTATCTCCACTTTTTCAGCATTTTCAAATATTGCCAGTGGGTGGAGTCAGGCTCTGACCAGGGGTTTAGTTACCCTTTAAAAACAAATTGCATTTTTGTCTTGAGACTTTGTTCAGATTAGATTCAGAACGTTCATCAAAACATAATCGAGCAGATGAAGTCCATCAACACCCCTGAAGATTTTTTGTGGGTTCAGCTTTACATCCGCTAACGTTAGCCAGTTTTGACTCGCATGCTGTTTAATGTTTGATGATCGCGTTAGCTTCCATGTGCATAAGCAATCTTCTCTCGCTTGTTTCTGCTTCTTTGCTTGTTTTTGGATCCGGAGATGCTGTACTATTTTAGAAGAGTGAAAACATGAATATGAATGAAAACCGGAAGCATTGCGTCATAAATGACGGGAAATCTTGTCAATGGCGGGGGAAGAGTTAAGTGCATGTTTTATTACCATTTTATTTGCATCTGTAGTTTACAATACATATGAAGAGTTCAGATACAAAAACCTCTAAATGCTATTTGAAATTTTCTTCTTTAATGATGATTTTTATCAAACTTGAATATTTAAGTTCAGTAATTTCACTTAAAAAACAATTAATAGGTAATTATCATTGCCATTTAAGTGAAATCACTGAACTTAAATATACAAGCTTGATAAAAATGATCATTCTAGAAGAACATTTCAAATGGCACTTAGAGGCTTTTGCATCTCAACTCTTCATATATTTACAGGCCGTTTTCTTAAAATGATTAACCTGATTCATTCAGAAAAGAAAAAAAACCAAAGAACTCATGCACTTATACATTTTGAGATTATGGGCTTCCAAAATGTCTTCTTTCAGGCTAGTTCAAAGAAAACATCTAAAATACACACACAATTGAGTGTTTGTTTTGTTACACTATCTATTTGCATCAGTAGGCTTCAATAACAATACACATCTTTACAGACCGTTTTCTCAAAATGATATTTTTTCTCATGCATTAAGCCAGACATCTCATGATTCTTGCACCAAACTTTACAGGTCTGTTTGTTGTTATAATTTTTGGGTGAACTGTCCCTTTAAGGTGCTTTGAGTATGCAACTGGGAAAGTAAGATTTGCGAGATTTGCGTTAACCCGCATCTCTCGTCTGTTCCTCAGCGGCTCTGAGCGTGAGGAATCTTCAGGACCTGGCTCGAATCTACATCCGCCGAACCCTCCGCAACCTGACCAACGACGAGAACCCCGGCCGCAACAACACGCAAAGAGCGTCCCAGAAGCGCAAGCGCAGGCGCTGCCGCCGCCGCCGCCGCATCAACACCTACGTGTTCGTCGGGAACCGGCTGATTCCTCAAACCATGGACAGCGAGGAGGACGAGTGCATCGAGGACGAGAGCAAAGATGAGGAGCAGGAGAAAGACATTGAGCCCATCAAACCCGAGGAACCGCAGGTCAACCATCTGAGAGACAAAATCCTGAGTCTGCCGCTGCCCGAGTCGCTGAAGTCCTACCTGCTGTACTACCGTGAGAAATAACACTCAGTCGAGCACTCGTCTTCGGTGGTGGTTTCCTTTCTCGGGCTGCATCTCACCCTGAGGTTCATAGTTGTTGTTTTTTTTGATAATGTAGCATAATTTAAACATTTAAATGGGGTTGGGTTGCGTTTCCAAGAGACTTGATTTGAATGTGCTTGCTGTGTTTGTTCCAATGACTCATACCGTTGTAATATTCACATTTTGAATGTGATTTTTCACCGCAGAGGAACTGAGGGAGACTGGGGTTTAGAAGCTTCTAGCTCACCTTGTTTGCATTCAGAAGAGTTTGCTAAATGTAACAGAAGCTGTTTTTCAAAGGCTTGTAATGTAAGACCAGTAATGACAGTTTTCTTTCTTTTTTTTAATTGTAGAGAAAATATCATTATTTCGGGATTAATTTTCGCCTTTGATTCTCCGAACCTTCTGGAGTTTTCGCTGTTTATGATGCTAATGCTTTCGGTATATCTTTGGACTGTTTTAGTGAAGTTCCATCTAGAGAGGATTGTTTGACCTGTGTTTTGCATTTCTTTTTTTTTTACACTCTAGTCACATTTGTAAGTACCGATATTGAACTCTCTTAATAGATGATGTAATTTTTTTGCTTGTTCCTTTCGTCTGCGAGTCGTCCTGAAGACTTAACGCTCCGCTTTTTGCTTGTGATCATAAAACGTAAGAGACGTCACTGCTTGTGTCGGTTTGTAATCGGTGGTTTCACACTGTCGTAACAACTTGTTTGCAATATATTGTCCGCATATTCACTTATTCTGTTGATTGTAAATGAATTTGTTACATTGAAATGGAATCTAATAGAATTTCACATCTATCATGTTTGTCACATTTCCCCCCAAAAAAACAGTTTGAGATATTGAAAAAAAAATATATCATCTATAAATCAGATATATAGTTCTACTCATGTTTATAATCTGCAAAATTTATTTTTTAAATTAAAATTCAAAAAATAAAAAATAATTTCATGAAAAGTACAGCTCTGAAGAAGCTAAAACTATTTAATATTGTTTTTAAATTCATAAGAATTAAGAATGAAACTATATTATCATCATAACACATTTTTACACAACAATACTAAATGATAACTGCATATATTTCTTTTGGTCGCCTTAATTATTGTGTCGCCTCTGTGTGGATCTCTGGCTCGTCCCACAAAAGTCCTCTTCCAGGTCCTGTATGTTCTTTGGTTTCCCAGCATGCTCTGCACATTTTGAGTTCTTCCCCACAATGGCTATGGGATGTTGAAGTCCCGCTCAGATAAAACTGAAAAAAGTCACTGACGCTTATGGGGGCCACACGTGATGTTATTTTATTCTTCTGAAATATGTATAAATATCTGTTGTGTAGCTTCTTCAGGGTGGTACTGAATACATTTTTATTGTTGTTGGGTTTTTTTTACCCGAAATAACTCTGACAAATGAAATGGCCTGACAAACACGGGTATCTTTTGTCTGTTGATGTGTTTTGTTTTAATACAGGACACTAGGGTGGGATGCATTCAGCTTTTGTAATGCCACTACTATGAACCAAGATTTGCTAAAATTTTGGATACACCCCTGAGTAATCAATATTTTTGTTAGTTTCTTAAAAGAAAATGTGACTAAAAATTTCTATAAGTACATTTGCATAATGACACAGTGTTTTTAAGCACCTTAAGTCATTGCCCATCTCCTATTATTTATGAAATGATGGTAACAGGGAGAATGTAAAAATGACCCAAATGATTCTTCATATTTGTCCTTGCAGCTTAAGCTACATTATACATACACCAGCACAAATGTTCTTTTCATAACAGCATTTAAATACGAAATAACTAGCTAGTCCAAGACCAAAAAAAATGTCCATTCCATCCTTGGGCTGTAGGCAACCGGACACGGGTTGGCGGAAGAGACTCCAATCTTCTCAAAACTCTGGATTCTGATAGAGGGCCATGAGACTTAGACCTGAGTGCAAAAATGGAGACTCTAGACCCTTCCTGAGCTGAGATATTGAGATCCCACATAGCATTTATGCCATTATAAAAATACTGGGTTCGCGGACGGTGGAATTTCGGGACGGCCCTTGGTGCCACAGACTCAGGGGGCCTCCCTGAGTGCAGTAAAATGGTTTTCATCCCAAAATTTTGAAAGCTAAGCTTAAAAACCACGTGTCCACAAACCCACTATTTGTCCAATAACCCACTATTTTTATAATGGCATAAATGCTACGTGGGATCTCAATATCTCAGCTCTATGCACACCAAGAATATGAACATTCATAATAATGTGAAATATTTGCTGGAATGTGTTTTCTGATATGCTTACTATCCCATAGTGCAAACACCTTATGTCTGATGATGCGAATAAATGTGTTATCAGCAACTATCGAAACAAATGACCCCCTTGTACTATGTTCATAAGTGTAACGGTATGCAGAGCATTTGAAATAGGCAACAAATGCCTTGAAGGTTTGAGTGGCTGAAACTCAGTTACAGTACACTGCAATTTCAAGTCATGTTGCGTCAAGTTCTTCATCGTCGGGTGCACAGAAAAACAAGTTGCACTTACAATGAAATTCCATTTCCATACAGTAAGACATGAATGAATGACTGAATGTCCAAACTTTTATTTTTTTTTATATTATTTTGAAAATAAATACATACGGGTGGTTTGGAACAACATGAGGATTAGTAAATGATATACAGAATTTACATTTTCAAGTGAACTATCCATTCAAAATAAAAAAAGACAGATAGATTGATGGACGGGCGGACAGACAGACAGAACGACAGACAGACCGACCGACCGGCTGACAGACCGACAGACAGACCGACCGACCGACTGACAGACAGACAGACAGACCGACCGACCGACCAACAGACAGAACGACAGAGAGACAGACTTACAGACCGACAGACAAACAAACCCACCGACCGATCGACAGACAGACAGAACGACAGACCGACCGGTTGACAGACCGACAGGCCAACAGACAGACAGACAGACCCGACAGACAGCAAAGAGACAGACAGACAGACAAACCTGATCGACCGACAGAGAGACAGGCAGACTGACTGACAGGCCGAACGAAAGACAGACAGCAGACAGACAAACAGACAGACAGACAAACCCACCAACCGATCGACCGACAGACAGACAGACAGACCGACCGACCAACAGACAGAATGACATACAGACAGACAGAACGACAGACCGACCGACCGACCATCAGACAAACACGCAGACAGACAGGCAGACAGATGGATGGATGGATAGATAGATAGATGATGTGTCTTACACATATGAGAACTTTAAAAATAAATAATGCATGATAAAAGTAAGCAATGAATTCCTTTAGTGTGCAAGAGATGAGGGTTTGGAGATGTAATATTTGCACAGAACTTTTCTATTGTATTATCAAGACCATCTAAATGCAATTTGGAAGTTGATATCTCGTTGCAAAACAGATATAGCGAACCATTATTACAAAAGCAATAGGCTACTGGTGAATTAAGATGCTGGGTTTGACAGACAAATAATACAAGTCTACCTATTGCGGAATAGTGGTAATTAATTTAGTGCAAGATTAATGTGTATGATTTTAGATATGAGGATTAGAGAAAACTGTCACTTCACTGTCACTGTGCAGAACATGTCTCACAGTTCCACATGTGACCAACAGATGGAGGCACAACACTTTGAATCACTGAACTGAGTCAGTCAGTCTTTTACTCAGAGAATATCAATCTCTTGACTGATGTCTCTAATCATTACCATTCCTGGCTCTACAAATGTCAAATCCCCATCCTCAGTTGTATCAAAAGAGATTAATCTCAAATATATTTCATAACTGGTACATTTGAATACAGAATCTGTTGAAAATTACCATAATCTTACCCTCCGGAACCCAATAACTATTAATAAGGGCTACTGGCTATAACTTATTTCCTGGGTGACCCTTTAATGACAGTCCGAAGGGAGTGTAGGTCTTCTGATGAATTACTTCATTTCAATATCTACGTTATGGAGCTATATGAAGCTCAAAGATTATGTCAAAATTCTTCTTCAGAACTTGATTTTTAGTTCAAACAAGGCTGAAAAAAACGCTGAGTGTTTTATTGCTTGAATCTCAGAAGTGTTGCGTAACATCTTGCATGATCAGTGCAATATCAGCACAAAATTATAGGGGACGTTAAAACGCTGAAAGCCATAGTTTTTATCTAGAGGAAAGTGGGTCTCCTCTTAGATTCAACTGCACTGCATCATCATTATCTTAATTAATAAAGTTGAGTGACTTTTATTCTCACTATAGTTTCAAGTGGAAAATAATCTAGTGCCGCAAGATTTCTCTGAAGATCAAAGTAAGCTACATGATAAAATGGAATATGAAAAAAGCCCAAAGCAAATCTCATAAAGTTTAGAAATCTCTACCAAATATATGCATATAGACATACACAGACATGTTTGGTTAATATATATTCAGCACAAAACAGCACAAAACTCGGGAAACTGAGATGCAGAGATTGTGTCGATCACATTACAAAATGATACTTAACAAGTGACTCAGTGGGACCATTCTACAAAACAGTGTGAGAAGAGATCTCCCCAAAGCCAGAAATGAAATAATCAATACTGACACTTATGTGGTTAAACTGCAACACCTCAGCTATTTAACCATCCGATGGAAAGCTTTAATATTAAAACATCACAAATGCAGTTAAAAAATTCTTGGGATTTAGCTAACAACAACAACAAAAAAAAAAAACATACCATGCTTTTTGGACATATACCGCTCCATGTTATCTGGATTATGTAGCATAGAACCTTATTCTATCATGATAGGCTAAATAATCATTCAGCACCATGGCAATTATCTAATACCATGGCACAATCACAGTAATTTAATGTAAGGGTGAATCTTGACATAATAAATGCTATAGAGAATGCCTTGATATTGCATTTAGAGTGGACAGACCATCATAGGCCTATGTATTTGTGGTAAACCAACAATAAATTTGTCAAGCCTGACATGCCATGTCATGTGTATTATATGCCTACCTACTGTAAATTATGGTCTTTTAATATAGCTAAGGCTGTAACCCTCGATCAGAACTCACTGAATCTAGCCTGACTGAACAATTATAAGCATTAAACTGTCAAGCAAAATATCTGGTTACATAATAGGCTACTAAAGCATCAGTCGCTTTATCCCATATCCCAACGCCACCCAAACATCCAATCAAATATCATCACTCCCCCCATTTCAAGCAGTTACGTGATGTGTGACGTCGCAGTGGATGGCAGAGATGTCCGAATCGTTCTTTTAAACCGGATCTTTTGAATGATTTGACTCGTTTGGAAATCACCGTGTGTATGGGACTTTGTTCAAGTTAGTAGGTAATGTTATACTATATTTATCAATTGAAGTGAGTCGAATAATTACAATAGTTAACAATAAACAAAGCAAAATTTGAAATGAAAGCTCTAAGAATGAAAACAACGCGGTGACTGAGATAGAAACAGTAACTAACCAATGGACTGTTTGTCTTTCCCCACACGCTTGTTTTCATTTGTAAAATTAAAATAATTTAAATGTCACCGTTATATCACCGTTTATACCGATTAAAGGTGCTGAGAGTCACACATTTGCTCAGCGAATCAATAATTTAGAAACCCACTGGCACTGACCAAGAGAATTCTCGGTTTGAAGTGATTTCTGTGTGAGAAGAAGTGCTTCTTTCCTGAAAATACCGCCAATGTGACCGCATCTTGACGTGTAAAAACGATTTTACTGTTCAAGCGAATGTAAAATACCGCTTAGGGGGGTTATGGGACACATTTGTGCAACAACTCAAAAGTAACGGTCACTCGACTCTTTGAACCGGTTCGCACAGAACCGATTCGCTAAAAGAATCGAACTTTCCACATCTATTGGATGGAGGTGGGGGCCGGGGAGGGACTTCTTGGACCAAAAGGGGATTCAAACGTGTTTATGACTTTAGTGTAGAACCGTCGCATTCAGTCAGTCAATGGACTCGGGCGCATTGCGATAACCGGCCTCATTGTGTTCGCTTCAGGCTGGGAAGCAAAACAGAGAGATTCGGTCAAGGAGATCGCCCAAAACAAAGGTGTGTCCATCTGAAAGACTTTCATAGTCAAAAAAGGACAGGACACGCGCAAAAGAGCGAGATCGTCGCTGGGAACAATGATGCTGATTGAAGTTTTGGTATTATGAGCAAAGCGCGCGGATTTGTTGGAAACCCATTGATGCGTCATATATATTACGTTAACCGTTAGTTGTTATCATTCTTTACCGGATCAGAGTGTGCAGTGCGGATTTGTCGCGCGCTCTCCAAATCGTTCCAAACGCGGCAT